TAAGAATAATAAATAATATGATAATAGTATGTGATAAATGTAATTATGATATTTACAAATGAATTTAAAATGTATAGAACTCTCCATTTCAAAATAATACAAATTAATAATCTAAAAGAAGTGAAAGTAATTGTAGTGGTAAGAACAATAAATTGATTAATCAATAAAGAGTCATTAAGAATGATAAAAGAACAAGGTATAATAATTCAATATGAAATAATGGTAAAAGATATAATAATATAAACATGAAAGATCTAATGAAATATTGTTGATATCATAGAGGCGAATATAGATAAGTACTTCATAAACAAGAGTCTGAAGAGAGTGAATGATATAATCTCACCTGAGCAAAGTGAAATAGAAAAATTACAATTTGCTGATACTTAATTTATTAGTTTTTATTTTTTTTATAAAAATCTTTTTAAGAAAGAAAACTTAAAAAAACAACGAAATGGAGCCAGTTGAAATAATAAAGAAAAAGAGTTGTTTTAATTTATATCAGTTTAAAGAAATTATTCAATACTTTTATAATAAAACAGACTACGAAGTATTCTCAATGATTAATAAACGATGTGGACAAGTACTATTATTATTTGAAGAAAATCCAATTCCATATACAGAAGATATGAAAGTAATATTTCCTAATATCTGTATACAACATCTTTATCATTATGAAGAAGAACATGTCTTTGGAATGAAAAAGTATATTTATCATTTTGAAGTAAGTTACTCTTATTATCATGATGTTCATGGAGAAAGAATTAAATTTAAAAGAGTAGTATTTAATAGATTAGATAGAATTCGTTATGGTGGTCAAATACCTGAAGGAATAACTGATATTGGATATAAAGCATTTAATGGAAGTGATATTCAAGTAGTTATTATTCCTGATACTGTTACATCTATTAACAATAATGCATTTGAAAATTGTAATAATCTTAAAACAGTTTATTTTTCAAAAAATTTATTGTCAATTGGTGCTGAAGCTTTTCTTGATTGTGTTTCTTTAAAAGAAATTAATAAACCTACTGCATTACAATTTATAGGTTATCATTGTTTTCATGGTTGTATTAAATTGAAAGAATTACCAAAAGAAATTAAAAGAAGTAATTAACTATTATTTATTTTCAATAACAAATTGTTTCCATTGTTGTGGAGGAAGTTTTAAACAATATTCATAAAATCTATTATGGTCTTCTTCTTTTAATCCAAATTCTTTACATAAATAATTAAAATAAATCTTACGACACTCTAATAATTCTTTTTGTTGTTCTTGTTGTTTATTACTTAAATTTTCTCTTTCAATATCTAATTGATGTATTAATTGAATTGTTATTTGATTATTTTTTTGTAATTCATTTAATTGGTTTTGCAGTTCATTTACTTTATTTTCACATTGTTGATATAGTTCCATCGTTTCAATGATTTATCTTTCTTTTTAAGTTTTTCTTAAAAGAAAAACTCTCATTTCAAATCTTTTAAGATTTTGAAAAAAAAAGCAATTACAACAAGTCAAATTATAAAAATAGTTTATGAGCATGTTGGTCCAATTCATTGACTCTTTGTTTAGTTGTATTATCAAAGCAATTTATTAATCTTCTAAGTCAGTGTCACACCAACAACAATAAAAGAAAAATAATGAGATGAAAAAAAGAAGGAAAATATTAGTTTATTATTTGAAGTAAAAAAAGCTGCAAAAAAATTATTTTAAAAAAAAAAAAGGTCAAAAAAAGAATATCCACAATTTGATTTTCTTCATATTGAGAAGTGATTTCTTAAGTTTCTTCAACGCCCTTCTTTTATTATAGAGTTCATTTCCAACAGACGAATTAGAAGGTTCTTCTTCTAATGTGGTGCCAGAGTTGAATGTGTAGAACATTAAATATTTCATGTTTTTAATGGTAATTATTTGTAATATTGGGGAAGTCGATTCGTAATTTTTAGTCAACAAAAATTATTTAAAAAAAAAAGATGAAAAAAAAAATCCAAAAAAAAAAACCTTAATTATCAAATCAGATAATCAAAAATGAATACAGACGATACTTCACATGAAAAAGATGGTATTGTCGAATGGACTGAAGAAGAGATTCAAATATTAAATAATAATTTAAAAAATTTTCCAGAAGAAGATTATTCTGAATTTAAAAGATTAACATTATTATTAACAAAATTACCTAGAAAACGATTACGAGATGTATCTGCTCGGCTAGACTATTACAAACAATTACAAAATAATCCAACACTAACATGGAAAGATTTCTGTTGTGAACATAAACTAAATAAACAAAAAAGAGTGGAAGCATATTCACCTCGTTCTTCTTCAAGTGAAAATGATGATAGTCAATTAAAAAGAAAAAGAGGTAGAAGTCGTTCTAAATCTAAAGAAAAACAAAGTAGAGATTCAAGAGAAAATTCTTCTTTAGGAAGTGTTGGAGACAGTCCTTATACTTCTCCTCTCCATAACAAAGATTTGTTATTTACTCCTCAAGTTAGTCCCGAAGGAACAATTAAATCTGAACTAACTCAACAAACATTAACTCGTTCAAAATCTGGAATAAATGTTCCTCGTACTAAACAATCTTTACCAATTAAAATGAGTGAATGCATTCAAGAAAATAAACGAACAACTGATATTAATGACAATAAATTTAAAAAAATTTCTGTATTTATCCCTCAATCTCCCCAATTACCTTTTAACCCGTCTTTATTCCAATTTCGTTTTACTTCTGTTCCTTCAACTCATCTTGACTCTCTTAATTCATTGTTATTAAAAAATGAAAGAGTTATTGACCATTTAATTGAATATGAACTACAAACTTCTCAAATAGATCTTGGTTCTGTTCAAGACTTTTCTTCTACTACTAAAGCCATATTAGATATTACTGAACAAATGGTTCATCCACTTGCTCTACCAGTTGTGTTCAATGCTCCAATATCTATGAGAGAAATTCAATCCCATTTGAATGAATTAGGGATGAACTATTAAATTGTTATTTAATTTTGTTATTCATTTTTCTTTTAAAAAAATTAATAATAGTTTTTTATTAATAAATTTATTATTAATAAAAATTTATTTAAAAAAAACTTTTTTATTGTTATCATAATGAGTTGCATACAAGAGTTTATCAAAAAGAATGTTGAGGGTCAAAATAAAACAGTTACGTATATGGATATAGTTCTTGCATTTGAAAATACAACACCAAAACAAGCACAAAAGTTTGTTTTAATTTATTTTTATTAAAAAATAGAATAAAAAATTATAATATTTTATTAATACTTTTTATTATTTTTATAAAAGAAACAATCAACACTTAGTGAATTAAAACAGTACCAAACAGAACATAAAATTGAAAGTTGGGAAGTTGGAATTGAAGAAAATGAAAATGGATGGCATATTACAAATAGTGGAGAGTGTTATATGATTTACAATAACGATTTTAAAGAAGAACTAAAACAATCAATGACAAATTATTTTAAGTCAGGAAAGTCAGAAGCAGTTATAGCACCAAAAGTTATTACAACAACACACACATTTAAATCAGATATGTTAAATAAAGAAAAGCCAAAAGAAGAAGAAAAGAAAATAGTCAATTCAATTATCAATGTATCAGAAATTCCTGAAACTAAAAAACCACAACAACCAGACGTATTAAAAAAAGAAAGTGACATAGTAACAAGCGGTAAGTCTCAAAAAAAACTTACAGCTTTCTTTAATGTATCAAAAAAATCTGAAACAAATTCTCAAATCAGCTCAACTACCTCATCAAAGAAATCTAAAGTCAGTTTAGATAATTTCTTTAAAGTTAAAGCAAAACCTATTGAGCAAAAAACAAAGAAAAGGACATTAAAACCAATTAATTCAGACGATGAAGAAAAGTAATTAATAATTTAAAAATTTATAGTTACACTCTTTTATTCTCTTTTTTTAAATAATTAGAAGAATCAATATCATTTTTAATAAATAAATAACTCTTTGAAATGGAAAAAAGAGTTTTATTGTTGTGAAATTTTTTTGGTTGGGTTTAAGTTCAATTCAAATGGAAGAAATAAGAATGAAAGAAATTAAATTAGCAGATTAAATTATTAAAAGAAAATGGAAAAAAAAAGAACTTAAAAAAAGAGGAATTTACGATGTCTGAAAGTGAAGGTTTGAAGCTGTTTTTCTTATTACTATATTCAAATGAGTTAATTCATAGAATTTAAACAACAATCTATGACAGATAAAATTGCAAAAGAAGAAAATGAAAATGCCCGTGAGTTACGTGATGTTGCCATGGTTGGAAAACAAATAGCACAAATGGAAAACGCTGATATAAAAAAACAAAACGAGCAAATAGATAGGGCAGGCCAAGATGCTAATGCAATGGCCACTGATGTTAGTAATACAAATGCACAATTACAAGAAGCACGTGCTTATAGTTGTGCTAGTAGAAAATGGTTAATTATTGGTATAGTCGTAGGTATTTTAGTAGTGATAGTGATTATTGCCATAATAGCTATTATTCTTGGTGTTCTTTTGAGTTAAATGAGCATTGTTTTTTTTTTGTTTTTTATATTTAATTTTTATTATAAAATATAATAAATTTACTTAAAAAGAAGAATACTAACAAATGATTAATTGATTGAGATGATTGGAGTACATGCTAGTAATTACCATTGTGATGATGTTACTGGTACTATTATGTTAAAGTTTGTTAAAGAATTCAAAAACTATCAATTAATCAGAACATTGGATATGGACATTCTAAATAAATGTACTTTAGTTTTTGATATTGGTGGGGTATATGACCATAAAATCAAACGATATGATCATCACCAACGTGGATTTAAAGAAACTTTTTCACCAGCACATAATATTTTATTATGTGGTTGTGGATTATTATTTAAACATTATGGAAATGAAATTGTAAAAAATATTATTGAAGAATATCAACATGAAACTATCACAGAAGAAGTAGCAGAAAAATTAAAAATTCTTGTTTATAATTATTTTGTTATGCCAATTGATGCCAATGATAATGGTATTGATGTTTCTTGTGGAGAATTATTATATAGAGATAATACTACTCTCTCTGCTCGGGTAGCTCATTTAAATGAAACAAAACAACCATTTGAAAAAGCACAAGAATTAGTTCAACCAGAATTTATTGATGCTGTTTTAACTTGTTACCAAATTGTATCACAACACTTACCTTCTCTTCAACACTGTTTTGAAACACGTTATTCTGTTCATCCTTCAGGAAAAATCTTAGTAAATACACAAGCAGTTCCATGGAAAGAATCATTAAATTTATTAGAAACAATTGAAGAATCTACAAATGGAAAGAAATGTGAAGTTTTATATGTCTTACAACCTGATCTTGGAAGAGGAACTCAATGGAAATGCACTGCTGTTTCTAAACCATTTAGTTATGGTTGTCTTAAAAACTTTCCAGAACAATGGAGAGGTTTAAGAAATAAAGAATTAGAAAAGGTGTGTGGAATAAAAGGAAGTATTTTTTGTCATTCTTCTGGATTTTTAGCATGCAACGAAACATATGAAGGAATGTTACAAATGGCAATTACTTCATTAGAATCAAATTAATTTTGATATTTAAAAAATTTTTTTGTTATATATTTCAAAAATAATTTTTTTATTGTTGAAAAGAAAATGAAAAAAGAACTTTCAAAAGAGAAATAATTATGGCATGTGAATTAAAAGAATTTTTGGTTAAGAATGATATGTATCCTATGGGAGATCAAGTTGAAAAGAAAAGAAAAGCAATCTCTAAAATGACTGAATATATTCAACAGTGGGGAAAAAAGATATATATTGAAAGTGCAGGTGTTGCTGATGATACTGATGTAAGAGCCGCAACGATTTATGTTTATGGTTCTTATAGATTAAATGTGTATGGAAATAATTCAGATATTGATGCATGTATTGTATCTAATTCAACAATTACAAGAGACGATTTTTATGATGGGTTATATGCTGAATTATTAAATAATCCTGATGTAAAAGAATTAAAACAAATTCCATCAAAACGATCACCACATTTATCAATGATTTATCTTAATATTGAATTTGATTTAAATTTTTCGAGAACAGCGTACACTTCATTACCTGATAATTTAGATATTCTTAATGAAAATATATTAAAAAATATGGATGAACTTGATACTCGTGCTATTAACGGTGTTAGAAATACAGACATTATTGATGCATTTGTTCCAAACCATTCTGAAGAAGCATTTAGAGTAATGGTACGTACTATTAAATTATGGACAAAAAAGAGAGGAATATACGGATATGTTTATTGTTTTCTAAATGGTATTTCAATAGAAATATTAGTTGCTCAAGTTATTAGTGAAAATTATCAATTAGATAATGTTCGTTTATTAGAAAAATTTTTTCAAGTGTATTCTTCATGGGATTGGTTAAGAGCTCCAGTTATGCTTGGTACTAATGATGATTTTAATGATAAAAAGAAAGAAGGTGTTATTCAAATTTTAACACCAGCATCTCCTAGTGAAAATGCTGCTTTTAGTATTACTAAATTCTCATTAGAACTGATTAAAAGAGAGTTAAAAAGAGGACAAGAAATAGTTCATGAATTTAGTTCTGAAGGTGTTAATGATTGGGCAAAGTTGTTTAAACCAAGACATCTTTTCTGTGGCTATTATATTTTTATTGAATTTATTGTAACTTCTTCTTCACTAGAAGGACTTACAACTACAATTGGTAAATTTGAATCAGGTTTGGTTAATTTAATGAAAGGTTTAAGTGAAATTGAAGAGATAGTTGAAGCAAATGTAATTCCAAATGGATTTTTAGATGAAGAAAATGAAAAGTATTTTTATTATGTTGGAATGAATGTTAAAAGAGATTGTCCCGTTGATATATCCACTCCATTGAATTCTTTTTTGAGTATCGTTAATTCAGGAAAAGATTTAATTGTTGATGCTTCAATTAAAAAGAGATCTGAAATACCTACTAAATTTGCTCATTCTGTTAAAAAATCTATCAATAAAAGTCAAGAAGTTAAAGAAACATCTTCGCAAGTACCTTCTTCTGTAACAGAAACATTTGATATTCCAACTAAACCTTCTATTGAACAACAACTTAAAGCAAAAGAAGAAAATTCTATTCCTATTGAAGAAAAGAAAGAACAACTTAAAAAAGAAATGAAGCAAGAAGCAAACACTATTGTTAAAAATTCTTCAACTGATGATGATTTTATGAAAAGATTTACAAGAAAAAATTGATTTTTAGAATTTAATATTTTTGTTATTTAAATAACAGAAAAAAGAGAAGGAAGTAAAAATAAACAAAAATAGAAAGAATGAACTAGAAAAGGAAAGAAGGAAATAGTAAAAAGAATAGTAAAAAAGTAAAAAAATGAAGAAAAAAGAAAAAAAGAAAATAGAGAAGATCTGACAAAATAGAAAAGAACTTTCATGGCTAAGGAATCTAGTTTATATGAAGGGTTTGATTATTGTTTTTAACAGAGAATGTTTTTAAAAAGAATTGAAAACAAAAAGGTTATCATTTCTAAAGAAAAAAAAAGAAATAATCAATATGTAGCGATAAAATGACAACAGAATTTAAAATAGTTTTCACAGGAGATCCATCTGTTGGAAAGACGTCTCTCATATATCAAATGATAGTTTGTTATTATTTAGAAAAAAAAAAAGAAATGAAGAAAACAAAACAAGAAAATAAAAATATAAAAAGATAAGAAGAAAGTATTAATCAAATAGGAAGGAAAGTTTCATGAAGAACTTCCGAGTACTATTCCTGAGTCACAACAACATACAGTTACAGAAGGGAATCAAATCTATGTATTTAATCTGAATGATACAGCAGGACAAGAAGTCTATCGTACAGTAACGTCATCATATTATAGGTCGTGTCATGGAGTGTTTTTAGTATATGCGCAAGATGACAAGACATCATTTGAAGATTTAAGGGGATTTTTTGATGATATCAGCACATATACGAAAGGAAAGAAACCTATCATTTATCTTCTAAGTAATAAAAAAGATTGTGAAAAAATTGTAAGTACAGAACAAGGACAAAAATTTGCAAAAGAGAAAAAGATAGTCTTTTTTGAGGTTAGTGCTAAGACAGGAGAAGGAGTTAAAGAGGCATTTGAAAATATGCAAAAAGAATTAAAAGGAACTGGTGGAAATAAAAAAGGAAATTCAAAATCAGGAAAGTGCATTTTGTTGTAATTTGTAAAGCCACATAAAATGATAAAATGTTTTGATTTAATTTAAAGATGGTTTATATCTTCTTTATTATTCATTCTTCTTTCTTTTCTTTTTTATTAAATAATTTTATTAAATTTTCAGGTTAATAGAACTGAAGAAAGTAAGGAAGAATAAAAATAAAAAACTTTGAATAAAGTAAGAAAGAAGAATAAAGACTTTTCATTGAACGAATAAAAAACCTTCAATTTTTAAGAAAAAAAAAATAAAAAGTACTGAGAATAAAGTAAACAAAGTTTGTATGAAGAAGTTAGGGAGTACTTCTTTATTTATCATAGTTTTTCTTACCATTTTAAGTAATAAAAGTTGTTTGGGGGAAAAGTGTCAATGTGGTGATGGTGTTTGGGATAGTTTTTGTGAAGATTGTGATGGAAGTTCTAATTGTGGGAGTAATTGTAAATGTAAAGATGGGTATCAACCAAATGGATTAGGTGATTGTATAATTCAATGCCTTTATGGAGACAATTGTTTAGAAGGGTGTTATTTACCAAATGAATGTGAAAAATGTGATACAACAAAACATATTAAAAGTGATTGTAATGATTGTGAAGATGGATATGTATTTAATGGATATGGTAATTGTATAAAAAAACCCAAATTAATCGAGACATGTTTTTCTTTTTTTCAACGAACAAAGAATGAGAGTGTATATATTATTAATGAAAGTACTAATATTTTCCATACTGTTCTTATGAATGAAATTGTATTTAGTAAAATATTATGTTCTGATGTTGTTTCATTTACACAACCATATACATATGGGATTTGGATTAAATTAATCAGTTTTACAGAACGATATGTCAGTGTTGCTTTAAATGATTATACCGAAGAAGAATTATTATATATTGGATCATTAGGAAATTATTTTGGAAATCCATATTCAATTGCAACACAAATGGATTGTACTGAGACCCATAGTGCAAGATGTGATTTATTTAATTTAAAAAGTGCAGAATATATATTAACACCAAGACTAATTATCCATTTACAACCATCTATTCCTATTTATGTTTTTATTCATTCTCCATATGGAAAAACAATTTCAGAATCGTTCACATTTTATATTAAATCTATTAGTCATCCTTGTATTGATGGAGCTGTTGACATAGATTTAATTGATGTTATTGATATACCTACAGTACATTTAGATAAGTATACTGCATTTGTTTCAACTTCTGTTTGTCTTACAAAAGTACAATATGTTAAATGGTATAAATTAATAGGAGCAAATAAAAAGATGAAGATTAGTTTATGTGATTCTAGTTATGAAGGAAATGTTTCAATTCAAGTAATTAGTTTTCTGGATAAAAGTAATATTGATTCTTGTTCAAGTATTCATGCTCGTTGTAATAAATATGTTTCTGGAAATTGTCTAAATACACTTTATTCAACAACAATTATTGAATTAATTGATACTGAACAATTATATGTTGGAATTACATTCTCAAATCAAGAAACTAAAGGAAATATTTCTATTTCTTTTGAATTTGTTTGTCCAAACAATTGTGGAGAACATGGATTTTGTAGTGAATCAGCAGAAGGATGTATTTGTGAAGAAGGTTATGTTAATACTGATATTGGGTGTAGTAGTTGTGGTAATGGAAAGAAAGATGAAAACGAAGATTGTGATAATTCTTATAGATTTGATTTACAATGTGATAATAATACATGTTCTTGTATTTCACCTTTTTTACCAATAAATTTTAATGGGATAATACGATGTAGTTTACCTTCATGTGGAAATCATCAAATTGATATTGGAGAAGAATGTGATGGTGGAATGGGATGTGAGTATTGTTTTTGTGTTAATGGGACACAACCTTATTTTATTCCACAAATTGGTTGTATTCCTTCTACATGTGGTAATAATTTACTAGATAAAGAAGAAGAATGTGATGGTGGAGAAGGATGTTATTTATGTCAATGTATTGAGGGATATTATTCGGTTCATTCATTATCATGTAGAAGAAAGAATTTTATTAAAGATACTATTATTTATTTATCATCTATTATTATATTTTATATCTTCTTTTGGATTGCATTATTAATTATTCATTACTTTATTTACATAAAGTTAAATAAAATTATTATGAAAGAATTAAATGAACAAGAAATGATTCAAGAAATTTGTAATTGTGGTGTTATTCCTTTTGATAAAGGTAATGCACAAAGATTGGAAATTTTTAATAATCCTTACTTTTCTTTTTCTGATTCTATTATATCATTTTTAAATGAAGGGAAATTAGATCTTGAAAAAAATTATTCATTTCAATTTACTCTACGTAATACTTACAAAAAAGTATTGTTATATACATTTCATGGTAAAGAAAATCCAAAATATAAACTTATTTTTTCTCCTACAACTGGGGCATTACATACTCAAGAAGTAGTCACTATTACTGCTCAGCTTATTGTATTTTGTACAACAAATTTAAAAGAACGAATTCATGTTACTTTAAGATTTGGTCAAATTAAATCAACAATGAAAGAAATTGATGACATTATTACAAGAAATAACCCACAATTACTTCAAGATTCTAGTTCAACTACTTCATCATCATCACTTATTATTCAAACACAATTACATACTGAAGAAAGTAAATCTTCTCTTCTTAGTCTTAAAACTAAAGTTAAGCCACCAAAAATTGAAAGGTTTTATGTTAATATGGAATTACAAGCAGAAAGTAAATTATCAACACATATTGATTTTGATGAAATAGAATTAAAACAACCACCTGTAGGACAAGGTTCATTTGGATTAGTATATCGAGGATTTTGGAGAGGAGTAGAAGTGGCAATTAAAATGATTAAATCAGATCTTTTAGATACAGAAACATTATTACCAAGTTTTAAAGAAGAATGTAATTTAATGGAGAGAATACGTTGTCCATATGTTTTATCTTTTGTTGGAAGTGTACAAATGCCAGATCAATTATGTTTAATAACAGAATTTTGTAGTATGGGTTCTGTAAGAAAATATATGAAAACAAATTCATTAACAACACAATTAAAAGTTAGAATTTGTCAAGATATTGCAAGAGGAATGAATTATTTACATCAAAATAATATTGTTCATAGAGATTTAAAAACAGACAATATATTAATGTTTAGTACTAATCCAAATGAAGCTACATTATGTAAAATTTCTGATTTTGGAACATCACAACTCTATGTTGAATCAAAAAATTCTAAAAAAATTGTTGATGTTGGAACTCCTGCTTATATGGCACCTGAAGTTCATAATCCTAAATTAGGAGATGCTAGTTTTAAATGTGATGTTTTCTCTTTTTCTATTTGTTTATTAGAAATATGGTTAACTCATCAACCATATAACCCTGAACAATTTCCTGATTCTGAATCTATTCAATCATTTATTATGGCAGGAAAACGTTTAGCTATTCCTAATGAATGTGTATATAAACGAATTATTAGAAAATGTTGGGCACATAAACCAAAAAATAGACCAACATTTAATGAAGTTTCATTAGAATTAGATTCTATTTATCAAAGAATAATTAAAACTACAAGAAAAAGACAAAATACTATTTCTGTATTACGTCCAAATGAATTTTGTACTACTCCATTTTCTCCAATTGAATCTCCTGATACATTAGCTCCTGAATCTTTATCAAGTACTCATGGAGTAACTCCAAAAATTATATTACCAGAATTATCTGTAACACCTTTAAATATTCCTGATGGAAAGATTCAAGGAAAGGTTAGTGATAGGTTAACTAAAATTACAAACACTCAAAGATTTTCAACTCCTTCTGTTCATTCTCAATTAGAAGAAATTCAAGAACAAGGAGAAAAAGATGATGAAGAATATTCTGTTGTAGAAATATCAACACCAAATACTCCAGTAACTTCCTTAAATCAATCAGGAATTCAAACACCAAGAAATCGTAAAAGAACGAATAGTATAGTACAATCAAGTAGTATAGATAAATTAAATAATATTCAAGATAGTAAATATAAAATTGGTATTGTAGGAGATAATAGTTTAAGTAATGGAACAATATCAGTTAAACCAAATAGCAATTTATTAGAACAAGAAGAAATATTAAGTTCAAGAAAAGATGATACAAATTCAATAAGAAAAAGAAGAACAAATGTTATTTTAAAAGATAAATTTGATACTTCTTCATTTGGAGATATTCCAACACCAATATTAATTGCTCTTGAATCAAATAATGAACAAAAAAGATATTCCTGTGATACAACAGGAGGATTAAAACAAAGATCTCCAGTTATATTGTGTAATGAAAATAAAATACCAATTAAAATAAAAATAACTTCTTTTACAGAAGAAGAAAATGAAAGAAAGAAAAGTGAATTAAGAAATGCAACTTCTCCTGAGATTAATCAAAAAAATGTAAAAACTAATTTACCAAAAGAAGGTAAAGAATAATATTATTTATATAAATGTATGTTTTTTACATCTCTTTTTAAAATGTATCGAGTTTTTTTTTAATTTTTTTGGCGTTGTAATTGGAGGAGTCGTTATACTTTCTTTTCTTTATGAAATACCCCATTTTTGGTGTTTTCGAAGTTATATGAAAAAGGGGGTTGGAGTGAAGATACCGAGTAATAACACTAGTAAAATTACTAAAGAAAAACTATTAATTAATGTATTTAAATAAAGATAGAGAATTCGTGTTACCTTTTGAAATTACTTAAACCATTTCTTAGAACAAAGAGAAGAAGAAGAAATTCTCAAATTAAAAAATCTATTTATAAATGTGTTTTTTTTGAAATAAAAGAATTAGAGAGAGTTCTTTAATTACAAAATCAAAAACGGAAACATTAAGTTAACAAGTTAATATTCGCATATGAAATCACCTTGACTAATAACTAGAATTCAACAACTAATACGAAATAAAATGAATAGTTTTCACTTTAACAAATAAAAAAAGAGTTTTCAGATAGTAAATAGTTCGGTAAAAAGAAAATCATAATAATAAGATATTTCTAGCTAACTGTAGTATTATTTAAAGAATCTACTAATAATTCATTTTAATTAAGTAATAGTGCATGCAAGGACAATTTATTAAAGAGTCTACTTTTATTAAAACAGAGAAAACTTGGAAAGAACCAAAGAAAGATTTTAGAACAGTTAGAAATCAACAAGTTTATCAACAAGGAATATTATTAGCTTTATTAAATCAATACTTTGATATAGAAATTAGAAAACCATTAAAAAAGGCTCATTCATTTGAACAATTAATAAGAATTCATAGATTAATTATTGGCTCAGAAATTATTGATGTAGAAAAGTTTTGTGACCGTAGGTGTAAAGAAAAGTTTCAAAAGGATCTTCGTAAAGGAATTAATGAAAAAACTGCAAAAAGGAGATTAGAAAATATCAGAATTGTTGAAATGGTTTTCTTATTAATGGATATTTTAACAGAACTTGGATATCTTTTTGATACTTCGTGCACTAAAGGAAAGAAAGGAACTGTTAAATATGAAAGAATTCAAAATATCTTTTATTGTGGTAAAAAAGTTTACAATTATAATCACTTTATTACTATTGGAAAATCTGTCAATTCTTATTTGTTATTATCTTTATCCAACCAAGATTCATTTTATTGGAAAAGAGGAACTGGATGTCCAGAGATCTCTTGATCACTTTCGCATTTTTAAATATTTTTTTGTTCTTTTTTTAATATATTTTTTTTGATTTAATGAATAAAATGTTGAATTGGATGAAATTTTATTTAATATTGTTTATTGAAACTTAAATAACTATAATTAAATAAAATGAATAATTAATTTAAGAAAATATTTATTTAGAAATAATATCATATTAAAATAAATTAAAATTATTTTTGCTAAATAATATATAAATAGAAATTGATGAAACAAAAAAAAAGAACAAATAAAATAATAAAAAGCAATGCCAAAATAATATTAACATAATAGGATAATAAATTATATTATATTGTAATATTATATTGTTCATAAATCATAACAAATAAAATAATAAAACAACAAAAAACATGAAATTACATGAATAATAATTATAAAATAACAAAATAAAAAATGATTAAATATTCAAATGAATAGAGAAATAAAAATAGGTTCTAAATAATTATAAATTCATTATAAAATTATATAATAGTAGTAATAATAAATAATAAAGAATAAAAAATAATATAAATAATAATAATCATTTTAATATAAATGAATTATTATAATAATAAAAAATAAACAAATAAATAACAACACTAAAATATTATTTGATAATTGATGAAATTTTTTTTTATTAACATTTTAAGTTGACGTTTAATTTGAATCATTTCATCCACTTCTCCCAACTTTCACGTTCATTTTCCATAAAAGCAATAACAGTTTCTAAGTGTCTATATCTAGTACTTAATTCTTTTAAAACAGACTGATACTCTTCAATAGAAGAATATTTTTTGTGACACATGGAATCATACCATTCATCTGGAACAAATTGATCATCAACTTCAATATCATTTTTAAGACCATTTAATAACATTAATAACCCATTTTTATGTTCTACTTCTTTTCTTCTTTTTTCATTTTCTTGAACTTGTTGTTTTAAAGACTGAATCATTTCTTTTGTTCTTTTTCTTTTTTTATCTTCAACAATTAAAGTTTTCTCTATTCCTAATCCTTCAATCTTTGCTTCAACAGTAAACAACCCACTAGAATCAATTATAAATCTGACATTAACAGGAGTTTTCTTTGGTTGTGGCTTATCTATTTGAATTTCAAAATTACCAAGTTTTAAATTTTCAGGACAAATATCTTTCTCTCCTTCATAAATATCAATAGACAATGTTTTCTGTCCATCTATAGCAGTCATTAATTGTTTTTCTTTAACAACTGGTATTTCTGTTCCACTTGGAATAATTTTTTGAAATAATACTCCAAGGTTACAAACTCCTAATGATATTGGAACAACATCAGTATAATGTTTATCTGTTCCAAATGCCCTATACGCTGCTCCTTGGCAAACTGCCAACATAGTATCTATTGTTGTTAATGGTTGTTTACCAAAGAATTCTTTAATCATTTTTTTAAAACAACACAATTTAGTAGGACCACCAACAAGAATAACATCTTTTATCTCTTCTTTAGGAATACTTTTTTTATCTAATGCTCGTTCGATTGTTTTCTGTATTCTTTTAAATAATGGTTCACATAATTCTATAAATGTTGTTGAGTCAATAACCATAGAGACTTCTTGTTGAACATCTTCAAGATCTTTTTCTGGAATAACACTTGATAACGAAACTTCAACATCACTTGTCTCTTCATTTGAAAATAAGATCTTTGCAAGCTCACAGTTATGAAGTAGTCCTTTCTTTGATCGTGTACATGCAGCTTCATTTCTAATACTTTTATCTTGAAAAATAACATATTTTTCTAATTGTTCATTATTCTCTAATAAATAATTCATCATCGCTATGTCAATATCTTTCCCTCCTAAATGCGTATCACCATCAGTTGCATTAACAGTAAATTCTTTATCAGATACTGTAACAATAGAAACATCAAACGTTCCTCCACCAAAGTCAATAACCATATACTTCCCACCATTTATTAGTGTTTGGGATTTATCATAAGCAATCGCTGCTGCTGTTGGTTCATTAACAAATTCAATTACTTCAATTCCAGCAATTTCAGCAGCTGCAGCAGTAGCATCTCTTTGTTCACTAGAAAAATTAGCAGGAACAGTAATAACTGCCTTAAAGCTATCACTGAGGTTTTTGTTATTGATAGAATTAATTGCTTGTTGTTTTAAATAAAGTAATATTTGAGATGATACCTCTACTGGAGATAACTTCTTTATTTGGTTGTCTTGTTCAATTTCATAAAACAATTCACCATCTTCAATGGAAATTTTATTTAATAAAGATTTATCATTTTCAATTTCACTCGGTTTTACTCTTCTGCCAATAAATCTTTTTGCCTCACATATGATGTTTTTTGTACGTTTGTTCATCATAGTTGCAGATACTCCACAAATAATATCTTGTTCAGATTTTGTTGGATAATATACTACAGAAGGGGTAAATTTATCATTATTAAATTTAATTACTTCAACACTCTGTTTGTTAACATCAAAATAACCTATAGAACTATTTGTTGTTCCTAAATCAATCCCAAAGACAACTTCCATTAGTCCTTTCTTCCTTTTTTTTTCTTTTTCAGTTTTTTCTTTTTTTTTTTTATAAATTTTTGTTAAATTATTGTATTCCTTCACATAACCTATTATTTAATTACCTTTAACAAAAGTAAACAACTAGTTCTTGGATTCTTTTCCATTCTTGGGGACAGAAGATAAATGAAACCTCACACCCTTTCTTGAGTGTTTATAGTATCCACTATCGATTATTGAAATTTCATCCGATTTCAAAATAGGTTCTTACTGAAACTATTCTAACAAATATCTTATTCCTCAAAAAGTTAATCATTCAAATAAGTTTATTGAGACCTCTTTCTTGCAATAATGAAAGATGTTGAATCACCAACCTAGATAGGTTTTATGATCATTTCAATATCGATCTCTTCATTCTTTCATAGGCATTGAATATTTGATGTTTATATATTTTTTCTGTTCCACGTTTCATACCCCATTTTTATATTAGTTTTTATTCACTTTCTTCTTAACAAGATTCTTTTTCGGTAGAATGAAAAATAAACATGAGATAAATATTCAACAAGATACAGAAGAAGATGAAGTTCTAATAAAATGTATAAGAGCGTAAAAAAAATTTAATAAAAAAGTGAATAAAAAGAGAATAAAAAAAGGAAAATGAATAAGAAAAAGTGAGTGAATAAAATGGTTACAAAGATAACACAAATAAGAAACACAGAACATTAACAAAGAATGAAACTCAAATTGAAAGCAAGAAAATAAGAGATAAAAAGTAGATGATTACGCGTTAATTGATTTATTTTCTATTGTTCATTGCTCAGGAGAGATTACTAATCCTATCTCTTTGCTTTAAAAATGATTAATCAACATTTATTAGTTTATTCTTTAATTTTAGTTGTTGAATTATGACAATTTCATTTTCTCATTTATTTGATGTGGAATAGAGTATTTTAGACATTTTTTACTTAAATATTCATTATTTAATTTCTATTTGATTTTGGTGAGTATTAAAATTATTCTTCTTTATTTTCTTATTTTAAGGAGAATATATAATTACTACTGTATTGCTATGGGGTAATATTCTTTTTAGTATCAACCACCAAGCCCTTTTTCGTTGATAATCTTATGTTATCAAATGTGCTTGTATCATAACAAGTAATAATAACATCTTTATAAATAAGTATGCTTTCTTTTATTATCAATGCCATTCAACTAACATAAATAATAAACACTGCTATTCTTGCAATATTTTGTAAGACATTTTTCTAACCAACTGCAACATCATAAACAGTCTATAACTGGTAAA